ATTGTTTTTATTTTATAGATTAGAAACCAAGGCTCAAAGAGATTAAGTAACTTGTCAACAACCGTTAAGATGTGGTGCCAAGACTTAAAGAAGGCAACTTGAAGGCAGCCTCACTCCAGACCCTTCACCTGTACTTTAGATTTCTCTTCCTTGCTAGCTGTCAAAGTGTCTGAAGATTGACAATTACCACTGGCTTTTACTTTTTTTAAAGAAGAGCAATTACTATGGTTATTACTAACTTAATAAAGATCTGATTTTCCTCTACTATTATATATAATGTGAAATAGTTGCAGTTATAGTTCCTATTTTAATCTACATATTTCAAAATAGTAAATAAATCTGTGAGTTTTCTGGTTCAAAATTGTGAGCTGGGAGCTAAGACTTTATTTTTGAAATGATAGAAATGATTTTTAAAGCCAAAAAGGACACAATTAAAAAAAAACAAACAAAAACAAACAAAAAACGCTAGAAAGAGTAAGGGGGGAACCAGGAATTTTGAGAAATTTCAGGAAGATAGAATACAAACAGGATTGCATCAAAGGAGAAGCCAGAGCAGAAGAAAACAGTCTAAAATAGCAGAGGTGAGCACGGTTTTCTCTAGGAGAGCCCCTGAGAAGCTGAAGTCATAGTAGCAAGTGCAAAGAGTACTTGTGATCAAAGCATTTATTCAATAACTATATTCAGAACTGTAGAAATGATTGGAAGCCATTTCTCTTTCCTTACCTAGAGTTATCAATGATCTAAAGCTAAAATCTGAGAAATGCTCTTTAAAGAAAGATGGGAGTGGGCTGGGTGGGACTCCGAATAAGGATGTGAAGAGAATTAGAGCATCCTTGGGGTCAGATGTGGATCTCTGCAACAGCCAGGGCTGGGGGATGTGCTGGAGAAGAGAAGTCAAGGCAGCTCTACCAAGGACTGAGTGAGATGCACTAAGTGCTGGGTCTCAGAGGCTCAAAGGAACCCTCCTTACTTTGATACCATTGTCTGCTTTTGTGTGTGTGTGTGTATGTGTGTGTTTGGAGTGATGTCTGAATAGGATCAAAATGGGGCTAAGGGAGAAATGAACATTACTAGGAGTCTGTGGCTTCTGAGACCAGCCTGCAGCTTTGGTGGCTCTGGATGCAGGCATAACTTTGGATTGTATCCCCATTGGTAGGCCATAGGTGGGCCCATAATTGCATGCACAGTATTTGGATAGTATCAGGCAGGGACATCTCTAGCACTGTAGGTATAGGATATATGCATGTCACCCCAGGGCCAGATGGTACTAGGTGTGTCAATGTGCCTGCCATGCCCCCTTCATCCCCTGCTCAAATTTCCCTCCCCAGAACCCCATGCTGAAGGATGAAGAAAGCAGCACTAAACTGGTCTTTGCATAGGCACGGCCAATGACTGGTTTGCAGTCAATCAACAGCCTACTCAGCAGTTCATGGTGTGAGCTGGTAACTAGAATTGAAGGAATTCAATCAAATTCTTTTTCTTAGGATTTTGAACTCAGAATATGGAGATATTTATCTGGCTAAAAGCCAACAATATCAGAGTTGCTCTGAAAGGTCCACAAACTGCAACCATAAGATTCCTGGAGCCACTCGGGTCCACAGCTGGCCTCCAGTTTCAGTTGTGTAAGGCCCAGCCTATTATACCTCCTGTGCTTGGCTTCCAAAAAACTCCATCTGTCTTGTTGGAACATGCCTACCCTTCCAAGAACTACTTTATTTGAGCTAGCCTGAGAAAGACTCCTTCATGCAACCAAACTCTAGTTTGAAAGAGAAGCCTGACAACTGTGTTCACTTTGCATTCAGAAGGGAAGAGAGCACTGGTGACTGCTGTTCACTGGGTCAACGGAATGAGCTGGTTCTGATCTAGTGCAACCCCAGCTCAGACCACAAGAACAGAGAACTTGAGGCTAAAATTGCTTCTTCAGGAAAAGTAGATTTTTTAAAATGGTTTAATTTTTTCTTTTTTAAAAGATTATTGGACTGTTGGATTGAAGGTCTCAAGATATTTTTCAAAGTCTCCAGTTTTCTAAAAATGGGTTTAGGAGAAAAATAAAAAGAAATAACTTTAAAGTTCTCATGAGTCACAGTTTTGTTTTTTAGATACAGAGCCAGTAAAACCTATACTGAATCTAAATCTTTAAAATAGAAAAAAACAAAGATGTGTGGGAGATGTCACATAGACTTCCCTCCTTTTTTGTGAACGCCATCTCCTGAAGAGCTCTTTCTAGGAGGCCTGAGAAAAAGAAAAGCAACCCCCTGAAACAGGCAGCTAGTCTGGCACCATCAGGCCTTGGCCTCCTCCTAGTGAACACAAAAATTTCAAAGAATATGAACATTAAACAAGGCCACTCTGTGAGTGTGATGGATCAAGACAGAAATAGGACCACTCTGCAATCATGTCTGAACACAGACAAAACATGAACATTGTCCAAACCACAAAAATGACCAAGCATTCCCCATCTACCTAAATTAGCTTTATTAAGACACACAATCATAGAATTAACCCCATTTCCTGAGAGCATCCAACCTAGAGTAAAGCCCCACTTTCTTAAGCCCTCTTTAAAATCACTTAACACAAGCCTAATCCTTTCTAGTTAAGTCCTTTCTAACCCTTCTAACAGCTTCTTAGTGAGGTGCTCCATGGTTCTCCATTGGAGTATGTTCTCTCTCCCTAAAATGTCATAAATCCAACTTGTTCAGCAACAAATGTGTTCCTGGTGGTGTTGGACTGGAGGATTTTGACAGGTCTTAGGAATGTCATGTTTCTGTCTCCACTCTTATTATTACTTGTCTCAGATCATCAAAGAGCATCTCCCCTGGACTACCTATCATGGTCCAGGCAAGAATTACCAAGGTTTACCAAGCTCTTACTACTTGCCAGGTGCTTTATATGAATTGGCTCATTTTAACCCACAATGGCCCTATGAGTCAAAAGGCTTAGAACCCCATTTACAGATGACGAAATAGAGACACAAAGGTTACAACACTACTAAGTGGCTCAGCCAGAAGACCAAGGCAGCCAGTTGACCTAGTGCTAGGGCTCCAATGTCCACACCACACTGCCTCCCACTGCACTGATCCCTACGCCCTCAGGCATCACTGGTGTATGGTCACTGGTCACCGCACCATCAGCCTACATGGAAGGGCACTATAATAAACAGACCCAGGATATCATTGCTGGGTTTCCTGTAAGATACGGGACAATGCAGACCCACAGGGAAAAAAAAGTCTCCCTAATCACAGTACCAGAAATAACTGAGCTTATTATCTTTTAAGTAGGTGGATTTTTTTTTCACCTAATGATAACAGTAATCATGTAAGTTAGAGATTTCAATCTAATTTTGAGATGATATGGTTTTAAGTTGAATAAGCCTAACCAAGAAAGTCTCCTTGAGTTTCACTTTCAACTTTATTAATGGGATCAAGAGAGCATTCACACTTAGTAGTAATGGGATTAGTATTTCTTTATTCTCCCAGAAAGAGGGAGGCTGAGGCACAGACCCTCGGAAGGTAATAATTCGCATCTAACAAGATCTCAGAAGCTTAGCTTCATTTTTAAAATTTATTTTTGCAATTACCTTCCATTTATAGCCTACTACACTGATTTTCCATTTGTAAGTGATATAAAGTTTCCTTTTAAAATTATTTTGGTAAAAATTTGAGTTTAAGGGAAAATGCTGGGTAAACAGTAGTACAGGTGGTAAGAGACCAAACAAGGAAACAAAAATCATGAAGGTGTTTTGGGAAACCTTGACTTCAGTTTCCTCTTTGCCTTGGCTACTGGAAAGACAGAGTGTAATTCATTAGTCATTGATCTCAAGGGTACAGTTCCCTACTCCATGAATTTCTCCTTCCAGTCTAACATCTGGCCTTATCTTCTATCGCCTCCCCACTGTCCCCTCTGCCTTCTTGTCCTGCCATCCTATTTCCTTTACCGAAAAAAAAAATGTCGGGGTGGGGGATGAGAATGGGGGAAACATAATAAAGAATAACATTTTGCTTTAATAACAGTGTCCAAAGAGTAGAAGTGACCCGGGCCACCCATCCGCTAAATGAGGTGCAGAGAGCTCTCAACAAGCCAAACGCGCCTGGTTTGCCCTAGTCCTGGAAAGTTTTATTCTTTAAACTGGGCAGGAACCGTATTTCTAAAACTGCCTGGACAGCGGGTTCTTTGGCCCTCCTGCGTCCCAGCTTAGAGTCACCATGAGAGCCTGTTTCTGTAAGAAGTGTTAGTGAATTAAAGCACTTCACTGATAAAAGAAAAGCTCCCGTCCCCCACACCCCAATCCTCCTCCTCCCTTTTCTGGCTCTGCAGCCCCTTGACCTTCAGTCCACCTCTCTCTTCTTTCCAATCCCCCGGAATGGGGATGTTCTCAGGGACCCCACGGAGCCCTAGAGGGTGGGGGTCGAGGGAAGGGATGGAGAGTGGTCCCCCGGGATTGGGAGGGGGATGGGCAGGGCTGGACAATAACGCCCAGGAACCCAGGCGGCGCAGCCGCCCCCAAAAGCCCGAAAAGCCGGGTCTACAATCTCCTCTCTTTAGGAG